GAGAGAGAGAGATGTATCCAGCCATTCAAGCTCTCTACTTTTATTCTGATGCATCTCATGACTTGCGATGTGCCTATTGCTCCCACTTCGGGTCTCTCGAAAAATAGCCATATTGCTGTGGAGAAAAATAAGGAGAAAACCTGCCACTTCAATCTTCAGGCCTGGTTCCTTGTGGAAGAGAAGAAGTGTGTGGCCGGAATGGAGGGAAAAGTGTACTCTTTACAGAAGAAGTGGGAATTACGCAGTAGGAAATCGACTCTGAGGCAAGCGCTAGTATACACCCAAGCGGGGCAGAATTAGAAGTGTCTGATCGCGGGGGTAGTCACAAGCGCTCAAGGCGGTCCATGCGCTAGTTAACCTTAGGGAGGGGATTGGCCAGACCGGGGGAGGCAGACGTTATTGTGTGCACATGTTAACCACCGTGAGGGATCGATCGTTGGTGCAGTTTGCGGCACCTGCGATTGGCCGCTCAGAGGTTGGTTGAGAGTTGCAATTACGTGGCCACATGCACGGCCATAAGGTCACTACAGCCTCACCGCCCGCAGTTGGGGACATTATCAAAGGTTCAGGTCAATGTTTCGACATCTTTGGAGAACACCCGACTAGGGTTGGTGACTGTTAAATTAGGGTTGATCCATCACTCCAAGCTCTACAGATCACCACTGGTCAGTACAGATCAAGGACACGGATAAGTTCCTATGCAGTCGATTACCTAACTCATGAAATATTAAGATGACCATTTGAGCGGGTGATAGCACTCATAATTGAGGTTGTTTATATTGTTCATTGATTCGATTTGAGGCGCAAAATGCTTTTTACTAAAGAAGAGGTCATTTTCAATCAGGCAAAATCCAAAGTTTTTCGATATTCAAGTGATCTTCTAAGTTACTAAAGGCTACGGATCAAAGGCTTTCGTTTATGCGTGTTGTACTGTAAGTTAGCATTAATATAAGAGAGAGAGGCCTTTATTAAACCTCTTGAAAAAACGAAAAATAATGTTTTGCGTTTCCCATGTGCAGTTGGCTACGAACGAACAAGAAAACTTGCAACAGAGAGAGTGCCGCATGAGTCGTGAGCAAGTACTTTCAATATCCGTAAGGTTACTCTGTGGCGCCTTATTAATGACAAAACTGTGCCCATAGATAAACAGGTTGGAACAAAATGGTTTACAAGTAAATCGGACAGCGATTTCATCGTACACAAGGAGAGTACCATTATATGCCTACTGAGGCTATTCACAGAGAACATATTTGTCGATGTTCGCCAGGAAGATAATTAGGAAAAGTATGCAGGAATTTTAACGGCACCTGGAAAATACCACAATAAAGTTGTTTTAAGTGGAACATTTATTTGAGGACGTTTTAAAGTTGCTAAGTGACATCTTTCTTATGGGCTCTCATCCTGGGAGAACATTTACCTCTGCGACAAAGTTGTATCTGTAGAAGTCGACCCAGGTGGTCATGTGTGGAAAGAACCTTCCAAAAGAACACACTACGTCGACGGTAACATTGAAAAACTGCCGAGGATTTATGGTTTGGCTGGCTCTTAAATTCGGAGGGCGGCCAAGTTGGCGGTCAACTATGAACACCATTAACATCAGGGTGATATCCGTGACATCCTAAAGGACGCCTTCTGTCATAGCGGTATCCAGAATGGTCACGATTATTTTACAGGATAATACACTTGATCACCACCCAAAAGGGGGCTAACATTTACCATTGTAATCTAACTTTTAAGACAATAGCCAGCTTCGCCGCATACGGCCTCCAATTTTTTAAATTCCTGCCAAAAGTCCGGATCTCAATCTCATCAGATTTAGTAAACTGGACAATAGACTTTAAGTAGTGGTTCGGGCGACGGCCCGCACACAAACAGCGCACAACCACACCGTTGAAGACCGGCTGGACTTACCTGGGGCATCTTACAGGAATTCACCGTTGTCTGGTACTTGAGGTTGGCGTCATCTCGGAAGAGTTTAGGATCAGCCCTGCAAGACAATGAAATGAAAGCACTAACACAACCGACGCCAGTAAACGTAGATGAATGAAACACGCTTACTACTACAAAAAAAGTAGGTAGTTATGCAAATTAAACGAAGTCGAGGTTGAAGTTTGGCACTCACCGTACAGAGAAGGGCATGGATATTGAGGAGACTTCCGAGTACGTTGTACTGAAGACATCGCTATAGTGTAACTGTTCAATGCACTAAAAAGGGCACCGGAGAAAGAATATGTGCGCTTGAGAGTGAAATAGCAAGGATGTAACCAGAGAAAATGTGCATGGAACGGCTAATTATAACAAAATGGATTTCACATCCACCGAAAGAAGTCGCCTGCTTGGATGAGTTAACTTTAGCCGTACAAATGAAAGGTGTAAAATTATCCTTACTGAACTTGTATCTGCTCTACAAGAAAAATGACGATGACGTTCGAAGATCCTCTTATTCCATTGCCTTCTAAAGGTGCAGAAAGCAGGTGTACCATTGCAAGTAATCGTACAATCGCCTACAATCTCATTCAGTGCTTTTCTAAGGGTGTCCCATATCAGCATCAAGTAGTCACGCATATTCCTACAGGTCGTCCTTTAAGTTCGTTCACCTGCATTTCCAGATGCTACATAACCTTGCGAGTGACAGCGTAACTATCACGTAAAGGCTCAACAACATTCGAGAGTGGTAAATGGTTTTGAAATGTAAATATACCCTTCCTTTGCGTAAAAGCATTGGACTAACTGTGATCAGCTACGAAATAAGTATAAGGAAGAATATTTTGCTTACTTTTCTTATAAAATATTTTTAAATTTGCAAGGGGATCAAAGACCAATGTAACAAGCATACTATATAAGTAGTTACGTTGGTCAAAAGCAGCATTCAAAAGCCGGCTTTCTGCAGCATCCGAAATATGCTTTTAATTCGAGGTAGTTAACATTTCAACTCTCCGTCCCCCCCCTCTCAGGTAATCCTTCATAATCCTAAAGGTATTGCAGAATTTTGGCTTACATTTAACGAGAGTGGTCATTCCGCCTGCATGAAAAATTGTTTCTACTTTCTAGAGTACACATGTGTATCATGTGCATCTACTCCTTCACTTGCTCCTGTGGAGCAGGATATATTGGCCGAAAAACGAGGCGCCTGGAAAAGAGAGTACGTGAACACTTCCCGGACTGGCTAAGTAAAGGTGAAACTAAATCGATTTCGATCTCTATTCTCGCACACCTTGTCGACACGAATCCCCGAGTCGATAATAGTGAAGCCTTTCAGGTTGTCTACCGGACACAAATCAACTTTTCCAAAGGCCTATGCCAACGAGTGCTGGCAACAGCAAAAGCAGGGGCTATACGCCTAATGAATCCAGTACTCTGCTGTCAGAAAACTCTAACACAAGCCCGGTCCCTTCCTTGGCCGACGCCGACGCCAGGGGACGAAAGCACATCGCCCCAGCCACGCTGACCACTTGCGCGGACTGACAAAGTCCGCAGTGGCCAATAGGCGCTCACCTAGGACAGTTATTGATTTTTGTACACGTTCAAATGTTCATGGTTTTGCAAAGTTAAAGGCCTGATGAAGAAAATCCGAAAAACATGTTTTGCCTTATAAACTGACTTTTCAAATACACACATACTTGTTTTCGCTCGACAAGCTGAACCTGAACTAATACAAAAACTACGTCAACTCCGGACAATAGTTACTTGTAAAAATAATGACTACTTACATGTTTAAATACCATTTGAATAGTAGAAAGGATTAAGAGTGCACGCGAGGT